CACCCTTCCTCAATGAAGCGTTTGAGACGGATGGGAAAGGAAAGGGGAATGGGGCAGCGACGCTTCCTTCTCCGGGTGTGGGGTGGGGGGGGGTGGGGGGACAAGGACCAGTGAGCCATAAATCCGAGGGGGGTGGTTGCGTTTCCACGTCCCTTTGCTGGCGTGGGTCTCGGGGCCGGGTTGCGGCTCACGGTCGGAGCGAGAAGACCGGAAGCCCAAGCCCAGGCCCAGCCGGAGTCGCTGTGTGGCTGTGGCCGGCGGTTCTCCCTCTCTGAGCTCTGCATGTTGAGAAGGGTTGGAAAAAATCATCCCTTCCTTTCAGTTGTCCTTTCCCACCTTTACCCTTCTCTGCATTTAACACCACTCCCATCGGGAATCTGCTCACCCCTTTAAGCCCGGGGTCTCTGATCTCTGGGCAGAACCCCTGATGGGCCTGGACTTCCAGGGCCGGTCTGTGGCCTCCCGGGAGCTGAGCGGCAGCATGGTGTCAGGGAGGGCCGTCTTCACGTCCCCATCACATCAGCCCGGATCCCCCAGCTGGGCCCATTCAGGCAAGCTAACACCTCCAAGAAGGACGTGGCGAACTCGCATAGGGGTCTCACGGTTTCCAGAACTCTCTCACATACAGTCTCTCTAAAATGCAATATTCACCACCACCCCGTAAGTGAGGTCCTCTTACTCACTTACTCGAGGTCCACTTTACAGATGAGGAAAGTGAGGCTCGTGGGCCCAAAAGCTGACCAGGTCTGACCAGGACCCCCTGCCCAGCACCCATTGGCTGGCTCTGGGCCCAGACAAGAGCTGCTCCAGGCCATAAGCTCGTGGCAGAGAAGGGGAGTCGGGGGCACCTCGTCTGCCCTCCACCTCCCGCCTTCCTTGCAGCCCACCGTGCCACCTGATTGGCTGCGTCAGTCCAAAGGGATTCATCGAAAGTGTACTGGGCGGTTCACGGAGGAGACAGGAGGCTTAGGGGGCAGCCACAGGAAACAGAGATCCCGGAGTCGGGATCACAGCCCAAGCTCTCGCTGCAGAACCAGCCCGGCAACATCGCACACGGAGCCGCCGACACTGGGCTGTGGCCCCAGCTCCGCTGGCCTTGGCCACGTGCCCGCACCAGAGCTGCAAGGGAGGCGGGGACACTGGGTGTCTGGCGTTTTCATGTAGGTCTCAGAGGATGGAGGATACCCCCCAAAAAGGAAGGACATCGAGACGCCAGGCAACATGCAGGTGGCGGAAGTGCACTGCCGTCAGGTTAGGATAGGGGTGGCTGCAGTAACGACAAAACCCTAAATCCGACTGGCTTACCACTGGCAGAGATTTATGTCTCGTCCACTCTACTCATCCATCCAAGGTCAGCCGCAGGCTCGGATGCAGGTCATCCTGAGCCCAGACCTCAGGCTGACAGGACAGCCACCACCTCAAATACTGCCCAGTGTCACCACGACAGAGGGAAAGATAAATGGCAGCAGCATTTCGAGGCCCCAGAAGTGACACATGCCACTTCTCAGGACTCATTGGCTGGAACTAGCCTCATGGCCCCGCCATGGGTCCCAGGAAAATGAAGGGCAGTGAAGTGGGGGGGCCAGGGTGTCAGAAGGGCCACAGCCCTGGGCCCTGTGGTCCCCGGTGAGCAACCGTGACAGCTCTGTACCCGACCCCTCTGAATGCTGGCCGTACTCCGACACTTGGTGGAGGGCAGTGGCAAAAATCTTCAGCGGCCTCACCACATACTCAGAAGAGCACACTCCCCACTCACTCATTCTTTTTTCATCGGCCTCCTATTTATTACCAAGAGCCTGTTCTTGGCACTGAAGACACGGCGACCCAGGGAAACCGACGGTCCCTTCCCTCGGAAATGTAGAAGCTGGAGCAGGAGACAGAGGTCAATTCAGTCACCTTCCAACCCAGACGTGAATTCCCGACCACAGCATGTATTAAACAGCGTTCGCCTGGGGCCCAGGAATTATAAGCGGATTTGCCAAAATGGTGCCTAATCCTCTCCAAGGCCCCAGGAACCGAAGCTCGGAGAGGTGTGGCCGGTTTCCCCAGGGTCACACCTCCCCGCAGTGACAGGGCTGGGACTCCAACCCGGCACCATCGGTGCAGGAGTCCCACACACTCGCTGCCTTTTCACAGCCCCCCTCGCAACCCGTGGGTCCCCTTTCTGGCCAGTTCCTGCCCTTTCTCCTTCGAGATCCGGCTTTGGGCCGTGGTGGTTTCGCAATTTTATGTGGTCTTTGACATAAAATATTCCAGCGCCTTAATAGGTGCAGTTCACTGGGATTGGAGAACTTGTCACAGATTTTAATACTAAGACCCAACAATATTTTTTTTTTCCTAAAGGATACCTGAAAACGAAATTACTACCTGAGCAAAAATGAAGATGTTTTCTGTGAAGGTCCTGGATTAGTGTAGCAATGGCGCCCCCTGGTGACCATTACTGTGTATCACATATTCCCTGAGGGAAGAGTGCATTTGGGATGTAGTGGCAGCTTCCCATTCTAAGTTTGGATGAATAATTAGCCTCCCCTCGTCTTGATCACCTTTACATCCCATCCCCCACCCCATTTATATCAATTCTACTTGGGAGGTCACAGGTATAGAGGATAGCATCTTCTCATGGCTCATTGTTCCAGCAACCAGGACACAAGGTCCCGAAGACCCGCAGTGAGATTGCCAAAGGGTAAGCCATCTGCTGCCAGTCCCCAGGGTCACTAAAGAGTCCATTAGGTCATGACAGATTAACCCATTGCCTTCTGCTATAACGCTTCTTTTCTGAAGGTTGTGGCTCCGAGTGACCCCCACCCCCACATTCATTCCCCAAGCCTGCCCCCCGCCCCCCGCCACGGTGTCCCATGACTATAGGTAACAGATGGGAACTTACTCGTTCTCTCTGATCTTGGCATTGTGTCACAAGCTAGGGATGCAGTGATGGGCAAGTTGTGGTCCCAGGCTCTAGAGCTTACACTCGGGCAGGGGAAACAGGTGGCCAGTTAGCAGATACATTATTCACTTTCGATTACAATCATTGTTACGAGAATGAGGCTCTGGGTGTGTGCATCAGTGAGACGAGGCCAGATTAGGTCTGAGGGTCAGAACAGTTTCCCCTAAGGAAAGAGCAAGGTGCGGGCGGGCCAACAATGGAGATGAGGCTGGTCCGAGCGACCAGGGCCTTGGAGGAGACTGAACACGGGTTTCTCCTGAGCCAACGGTCAGTGGTCAGTGCAGGGCCCACCGGTGGGGACAGCCATGGGGTAGCCTCAAGGACAGAGATGTACTAGGAACACCTGTCATTCCCGTAACCACTGAGGAACATTGAGCTGAAGCTGAAGGATGAAAATGAACTAAACTGGGTGTTTCTTTGGAGGGTTCACTTAAACTCTCCTGAGTAGGAAATGCTGGGGGGGGCGGGGGGAGAGCATCCGGATCTCCATCTGTTCTGCCTCTTCCCAGAAGCCAAAGGTACTGCGGAATTTATTTACATCCCTCCACGGCTCACTGAAGGGGGGGAATAAAACAGCAGACGTAATTCCCGGGGTGCAGGCAGGAGTTGGGGTGACAGTGGGCAAAAGGCTGCGACAAAGAGAGAGGAGGGTGGTGGCCGCCATTCGGCTCCAAAGGGGAACTGTATCTACAAAAAAAAAAAAAAATTAGGGTATAAAGCCTTTCCCAGTGTGTGGCCCCAGCTAGCTCTCGGGATGTAGTATACCTTAGGTTAAACATTACAAGGTTTGGATTCAGAAAACTTGTGTTCGGATCCTCCTTGTCTGTCTCCAGCGATGTGACCAGGGAACAAACTCTCTGCATCTCCACTTCCGAATGTGTAAAATAGCAGTGACAACAGTATCTGCTTTTTAGATTGTGAAGTGGCGTGTGTCAAGTTTGCAGCGGCATGCCCGGCATATTCCACGTACTCACTAGTTTATTATTATTATCGACAATATTTAATACCTGAGAAGAAACCCACATGTGTAAGAAAAAATTCAGGAAGACGATCTCCCTTATTTTCCAATTTTATAAAACAAGGATGCATTGCAATTAAAATCAGAAAGGAAGCCCTGGCTGGCGTAGCTCAGTGGATTGAGCGCGGGCTGCAAACCAAAGTGTCGCAGGTTCGATTCCCAGTCAGGGTACATGCCTGGGTTGCAGGCCATGACTCCCAGCAACCGCACATTGATGTCTCGATGTCTCTCTCTCTCTCTCTCTCTCTCTCCCCCCCCTCCCTTCCCTCTCTAAAAATAAATAAATAAAATCTTTAAAAAAAAATAAAATAAAATCAGAAAAGAAAAAAGAACCCCGCACTTTTCTGAATAACAGAACTTTGACTAGTCCACTGCCTCCCAAATGTCTGGAGGCTGAGGGGGTGCACGTTAAACACAGATTCCTAGGCCCAGGCCCCCCCGCCCCAAAGTACATGAGATTCTCTAAAACAGGGGTGTCAAATCGTTTTCACGGGCCACATCAGCCTCCGGGTTGCCTTCAAAGGGCCGAATGTAATTGCGGGACTGTATAAATGTAACTACTGCTTAACTAGGGGCAAGGAGCTCTCATTCAGCCCTTCAAAAGCAACCGCGAGGCCGGTGTGGCCCCCGGTGAAAATGAGTTTGACACCCCTGCTCTAAAGTATAATGCTGTTGACCTACGTTTTTACTCAGCACCGCGAATGATTCTTAGGATCAGGCACTGCTGGCGGTGCTAATCTACATCACGACTTGCAGTGCTGGACGTGAAACACTAGCCCAGGTGGCAGATATCACGAGGGCCTAAACCTACAATTCCCATAAGGCCCCACTAATGGGAGAGAAGTGGGCCCGATGCCTGCCGGGAGTTGTAGTTCGGATCGCCACACATCCACCTATAAGAACGCGGGCGGTAACTGCCGAAAACCTCCCTCCCCACAATGCAAGGGCAAGCTGTGACGTCATCCGAGGAGCGCCTAGCGTGGGGCGGACGGTTTGTGCCGCCTCTACCACCGCCACTGCCGCCGTCCCCCCCTCCTCCTCCCCCGCCACCACCTCTACACGACCCCCGCCCTCCGTCCCCGAGAAGGAGCCGTGTTAGGTCTCCTTGGCGGGCCCGGGGTGCAGCCATGGCGGACGGCGGCGGCGGGGGTACGGGTGCTGTGGGCGGCGGCGGAGCTGGCCCAGCCTCGGCGGGGGCGGGGACCGGCGCGGCGGGGGCCGGGAGCGGCGGCCCCAGCAACCCGGCCTCGCTTCCTCCCGGCGACCCGCAGCTGATCGCCCTCATCGTAGAGCAGCTCAAGAGCCGGGGCCTGTTTGACAGCTTCCGCCGGGATTGCCTGGCCGACGTGGACACCAAGGTACCGAGGCCGCCCGCACCGAACGGGATCGGGCCGGCGTGAGGCCGCCCAGGTTGCACCTTTGCGTTTCCAAAGCAGAGAGAAAAACAAAAGATGCCTTTAAAAATCTCACTCGTGAGGTTAGCCCGCTTGGGGCAGCACTGGGAGCTTTCGGCGCAATGCACACGTGGTCTGGGTTCCCAGTGGTCGCAGCTGTAAGAGGTAGCCCAGTCGCTTCTCCGAATTTGGGGTTTCAATTCGGGCTTTAGAGCCTACTTAAACCTCTCCGCAAAAACCTCAATGTGTTAACAGTGGAGAAAGCCAGATAAATAAGGCAAAAATGGTTTGAATGCACGATCATCAGTGGTGTAGCCGTTTGTTCCTTTTCTCTGGCCCGGCGACTGCAGTCTTGCTCGTGCAGCTGAGTGAAGGAGGCGCGCGGTGGGAGAGCCAGCCCCCGTTTGTACCCCTTGGCTGATGGGAGGTGCGTTTGGTGCTCATGTTAGATCTTAATGCCTTGGGTCAAACCCACCCCCAGGAAAATGCGATCTCGCGCATGCTACAAGGCTGTTTGGATTCAATGAATGGCTTGTGTGCTGTGTCAGACATGCAGTAGTTGCTGGAACCTTCGTTTCAGAAGCTTCTCTTGCAAGGCTCTGGCTGTAGGTTCAGGAGGCTCCGTTACCGACTGGGCAGTGACTTCCCCTCTCTGAGCCCACCTTGCAAGATTGTGAGCATCAAACAAGACCTTAAGGCTGGGAAAACCCCACTGAACACGTATTGGCCCACGTCATCCTGTGCTGTGTGGGTACAGGATGTCAGCCACTACCCAGACCTCAAAGCCGCAAAGTGTGTGCACTGGGGCGGAGACGGACATGCAGACCTGACAGTGTACGTGAGGGGTCTGTGCTGTTCTTCTCCAAGATTAAGAAGCCAAGGAGCAGTGTGGTCCTTGACATGAGGTGTTTGAAGCTGTCCTATTTAGCTAGGGTCTCAGACACGTGTCGGCAGAGCTCCCACCTTTCCCGGGACTCTGGCTGTGCTCCACTCCCATCACAGGTTCCCACTCGGATTTCTCACGTTCCAGGAGGTTTTGTGTGGTGTAATCGGCACAGTGTGCGTTTTTCTCAATTAACACTGAGAAGCTGTCGGAGGAGAGGGAACCGAGCACCCCCCACGTAACACCTCCTTAGATGTGCCCTCTGCTGACGGTTCCCTGACATAGTGTATTCTCAGGCACCCCTCGAGTTCTCCCATTGCTTTAGGCCTGTGATTCTCGAAATGTGGTCCCTAAACAGCAGCATTATCTGAGAACTGGTTAGAAATGCATGTTCTTAGGCCCCAGCTGGGTGGTGGTGTTTGCAGTTTACTTGGCAGTGCATCCAAGCCATAAACAAATGGAACAGACTGATCAGGGCGTCAAGCGAGGGGCAGATGACGCAATGACATGTGAGTGGCGGGACCTAAGGCCCTTTCACTTCCTGAGCAAGGACTGTCCTGTGTTGTCAGGACTGTTCAGGTTTGGTGGGGATGTGTGCTCTCCGTCCTTTTTTAGTAAACAGTCACCCCAAACCAGGAGAGGAGTTTTGGACCGAAGGGTGCATGGCTGTGAAGGTGCGTGCTTGCGAGGGGCAGATCTGACTCCAGCTCCCCACGGAACCGGGGACGGACTGAGCGAACAGGCTGCCCGAGCGCAGGGCAGGGCAGGGCAGGGCGCGTGCGGACCAGGGCTGCTCCGCCGGGGCCGCCTCTTGTCCCTTTCTTTGTCACCATCGCGCTGTCGTGCAGAGCAGGGCCACCCTTTGGTTACTAGTATTTCTTGATTGTATCCTCTTCCAGCTCCCTCCTCTAGAAAGGGACTTTCAACTCCAGTTTAAAAAAAAAAAATCTCAGGGAATGTTGCATTGACTTTGCCATCAGGTGCCCACTGCCGGGCCAGGAGAACAGGGTACCCTCTGCCTTACCCTTGGAAAGAGGGGAGGATGGTTGCCAGGGGAAAGGAGTTGCCAGGCAGACAGCCCACAAGAATGGAGGGCTGTAGACCCCCAAAGTTCAGCTGGTGTCGGCAGGCCTCAGCGGGGGGCTCCGCTGCGGGCTGCCTGGGCCCGGGTCCAGGCCATGGGTTGGTTAAGTCTGCTGCACGTGGGCTCATCCGGGCCCCAGGACATGCTGCCACAGAGGGTCGCCGGGGCACGAGAGCTACGCCAGGCAGGACAGCCACCTTGAAAGTCTCCTGTCTCCAACAGTCCACTGACCGGAGCCAGTCACGGGGCTCGGCTCCGCATCACTGGGGTGGGGCGGGGAGAGCAGTGCACACACCACACCCAGTCTGGAGAAGAGCAGCTCACAGCACCAGGGGTTTCTGCAGGCTCAGAACACGCGTTCCTGGCGCTAGCCGAGCCCCCCCTAATGTGGTCCTGGTGCCTGTCGGGTCTGGAATCGGCAGGTGACCCTCAGCTCCTTTCGGGCCGCAGCCCCCTGCCCCGCAGCCCCCCGGGGCTCCCAGGCCCTGACTGCAGTCCACGTTCTTGTGCCGTGCGGGGGCCTGGGGGACCCTCCGTCGTACGCAGAGGGCTTTCCCGAGCCTCTTGGTTGCTGAGACTGCCCTTCGAGGTCAGGGGCAGTACTGTTACCGTTTTCCGGTTGGCAATGACTGAGACCCAGAGGTTGTGGGACGCGTTGGCAGTCAGAGAGCGGGTAGGTGCCGGAGCCAGGCTGGGACCCGTCCCTTGGGCTCAGAAAGAGGCTGTCTCGCCGTGGCTTCGCCACGCGGGCAAGTCGCTCACTCCTTCCCAGCCTCCGTTTCTCCTCTCTGAAGGGGCAGGAGGGGGCTCATGGGACCTCCCTCCGAGAGTTACTTGGAAAATAAACGAGACAGGAACATGCAGCAGCTGGCGCTGTGCCCACCCACGGAGGCCGGGCGCTCGGGTTAGCCGTGAACGCACACTCCGCCGTGGCGTGGTCTCGCAGTCCCCACGGGAGTCTCAGGAAGAACTTGAACATGGCGTTTCTACACAAAGCAGGGTTCGGAAAGGCTGGCCACCACAATTGTGATGCTTACCTTGCCCCTTCTCTTTAACACTTTAGCCGGCTTACCAAAACCTGCGGCAGAAGGTGGACAATTTCGTGTCCACACACCTGGACAAGCAGGAATGGAGCCCCACGATGAACAAAAACCAGCTGCGGAACGGCCTGCGGCAGAGCGTGGTCCAGTGAGTACGCAGAGTCGGGGGCGCGAGAGCGGCAGCGCCAGCCAGCGTGCGACCCACGGGCGGGCGGGCGCACACAGTGACCTGGGGGTCACTGTTCGGTGGGGGCGGGGTGGCACCTCCCCGCTGCTGTCCGCACGTAGCAGCGGCAAACTGCTCCTGGATCAGAAGTCAGGGCCAAGGAGGCACAGACCTCGGGTGCAAGTCTTGCCGGTGTCTCTGACGTCTGTGGGCCTCTGTGCCCGTCTCCAGCAGGTGCATCGAAAGATGCTCCAGACGGCAAAACGTGACCCCTGCTCCTGGAGGTCTCCGTGCATCCCCACACGCGTGGGCATTTCCCGCCGAGACCCGGATGTTTGGGCCTTGGGCCCAGGGAGCTGGGTCTTGATCCTCACGAGTGAGTGCCTAGCTTACCACTCGTGTGCACTTTCCAGCTGTTTTATTAACCAGAAGCGAATCTGGACTTGATCGGACTTGCTCCTGGGACATTTCTCTCTGATTCTTACTAACACTTCGACTTCGAGGCCAGTCCAAATAGTTTTGGAACGAAGATTTGCTTCATAGCCCTGGAGGGTTCTGACCCGATGGGACCCTGCAGCCCAGCGCTGGCCCGCTGGCCTGGCCATCAGGGCCCAGAGGCTGGGTCCCGGGTCCGAGGTGTGCAGGGCTTCGCAGGAAGTCGGGCTGTGCCCTTGAACCTGGCGGTGACGAAAGGTGCTCTATCTGCATATACCTGCCCGCCGCCCCTCTGGCGTGCAGGCTCCCGACAAGACTCCAAGTTTCCCCCAAACGCTCTCCCGACCCCCAGGAGCACGAGCTGCTCCATGTCTTTCTGATCCGGCCTCCGCATCCAGGGAAGACCTGGGGGGGTCTGCCTCGGGAAACGGGGTGCCATCGGGAAGCACGGGGCTCGAGACTGGGGAGGGGTGGCTCCGCTTCTGGCTCTCCACGGCCTGGCACTGACCCCGCCGTGTCCCACGCTCGCCCCGGAGGGTGCGCCCTGTCTGAGGCGGGGCTCCCCACGAGTGCACGGGGCGCTAGGGGCGCTGTGTGTACAGCCCAGCTTCCTGCCGACGAGCCGCTAGCGCCCCGCGTCCAGGGAGCACTGTCCACGCTGCTCAGCCGCAGCGGCCCGGGCCTGCTTCTCGTCTCGCACGTCTCCGCCGCCGCCTGCGCCCCCACTGCAGGCCTGTTCGACCCCAGCGGGGTGTCGCTGGCCCGAGGACTCTGCCGCCCGAAGGGAGGGCAGTCACCCCAGCCCACGTGCTCACGGCAGTGCTCGCGTGCTCCGGGCCTTGGAGGGCGCTGCCGTTCTCCAGGGAGTCCACACTCTTCCTCACTACCCCGCCCCAAGCACTCGGGTCCAGACACTTCGGCTAATTGCCGCTCTACTTCAGAAGCGGATTTGGGGTGCATTTGGCCCCGTAGGACTTCCGAACCAATCGATCTCCTGTCTGTTTACGTGTCTGCTCCCACATCCCTAGCGTATGTGCAGGGGACGGCCATAGCGGCAGGCCCCACAGGGCTGCTGGCTGTGCAGCGTGAGCCCCCAGCATGCATCTGTGACGCAGGTTTGGGGCCAGCAGCCACGTTGCCCCGGAGGCTCCCCTGCTGGCCGGCGGGGAGATGCCGTCGGGCCTGGGGCTGGCCACCCGGGACAGCACAGTGACGCTCGTCAGCACTGTCCTGTCACCAGGGTCTCTCCTGCCGAGTCACCATGTTTCCGCTATCTCTGGGATGGGCCAGCTCGTGCTCTGCGGTCCCTTTGCCCGGTGTTGAGGTGGCCTGGGAGGGGTCCGTGGGTGGGAATGGCTGCTCGCCGCCTCTCCCAAGGGAAGCCTGGACAGCCCACACTCGGTCCGCCACCTGGGTGGGCCCTGGAGAGGACTCCCCAGAGTGGCTGGGGCCTTGACCAGGTGGTGGTCCCTGGGCCCATCCTTGACACTTGCTGGGGACGAGAGCATCTCGGGGGAGCCAAGTAACAGAGCGGCCTCTTTGTCTCTTCAAGGTCGGGGATGTTGGAAGCCGGAGTGGACAGAATCATCTCCCAGGTGGTGGACCCCAAACTAAACCACATCTTCAGGCCGCAGATAGAACGAGCGATTCACGAGTTCCTGGCGGCCCAGAAGAAAGAGGCCGTGCCGGCGCCGCCCCCGGAGCCCGACGGCCAGGACCCTCCGGCCCCCGCCCAGGACGCGTCCTAAGGTGCGGTATCCCGTCGCACCTGGGAGCGGTCACCTCTGACTCAGAGAGGGAGGAGAGGGTGGGAAGGGGTAAGCCACCGTGGGGACGAGAGCGTGCCCCGTCTGTGCAGAGCGGGGACACGGGGGGTGGGGGGGACACCCCCCATGCTGAGTCGGTTTTCACCGTGACGGGGTCGCCGCGTGTCCCTGTGTGTGTGTGTGTGTGTGCCTGCCCGCGCCCCGGAGCGCCGCACCTCAGCCAGGCAGGGACGCCGCGTCAGAGACCGGCGGGGCCAGCTGGGCCGCACGGGGGAGGTTCGGGTGAAAACCCTGTTTCCTCGGGAGTCGCTCCAGGGAGTCTCTCCCGGACTCCAGTGAAGTGTGGGTTTGCAACCCGGAGGGAAGGTCGACCGACGCACTCGGCAGTGGCCGCGGGCCGGGTGGGACTCGGGTCTGCGGGAGGCCCTGCCGCATCTCCCGTGTCGAGAGGAAGCTGGGTTCTCCCCTCTCAGCTACCGCGGGCTGCTTCTGCTGAGCGCGCCCCTTTTTTCTCGTATCTGGGGTTCAGTTTGCAAAACCGGCTGTGGGTGCACAAAACAGCGCTGTGTGCAGCGTTCGGGGCAGCCACGCACTCGGGCTCGGCCGTTGCCGGGGAGCACCGGGCGCGCCGGGGCCTCGTCCTCGCGGCGCCCTGGCTGTGGGCCTGCGAGGTGTCATTTCCGACGAGCACCAGCGAGCGAGCGAAGCGCAAGCTTCGGGCTCCCACGGGGCACTCTCGCGAGGGCAGCCCTGTCCTCGCACCCCTGTGGGGTGTCAGACGTCCACTTCAAGTCTCCTGCGTAATTGTAACTTCCATCAGGGACGTAAAGTTCACTGAATGTAGCCTCCTACCAGTAAGCATTTCGGTGTGACTCTCTCTCTAGGACATGCCTGACGTCTTTTGGAAGCTCCGTTGAACAGCGGGGAAGCAGCGGACTCAGTTGGTGACAGGACCACTGCAGAGTGAAAACTGGCCAAGGTTGTCCCTGGCTGCACCTTTGACTTCGGGGTGCGGACCCCAGTGAGCGGGGAGCAAGTCTGGCCTGTGTCCCTGCCATCGGCCCACCTGTCCGAGGAGCTGGCACCAGCAGACACTACAGAGATCTGCAGGAACACTACACTAGCCTGGGGTTGTCCTGGAAGAGCCTTCATACTTGAACTTGGGGACTGCGTGTGACTTCAGGGTTCGCACTGGGGCGTAAATGACGGCTGCGGTGCAGGGCCGGGGCAGGCCCCGAGACGCAGTTTCTGAGGGCGCGGGTAGCCGGGGTGAGTGGGCGAGCTCATTTGACGCCGTTTCTCAGAGCTGCGAACTAGAACGCACGAGCCGTTAGCGTCAAATAGCTCTCACGTTGTGGTGACCCTCTAGTACGAGTCTCCCCCCCCCCCGTGACAGAGCCCGGCCGATGCATGCAGAGGCTCGAACACTGGGACGAGGAGAACGTGCGTGCGCGCTCCCTGCAGGGCCGGGAGGCTCAGGTGTGTGTGTGTTTTGTCATGTTCGTGTTTTTTAGAAAAGTGAATGATCAATAAATAGCTTAAGTTTTTTAATAAAACTTTGCTACTCTTACTCTGAAGCTTCAGCAGACTCTTGGACCCCAGGGTGTGAAAGGGAAACTCTCCCGTCCTCCGCCTGCAGCCACGCCTGTGCACAGCACGTGACTCCACAGCCGGGAAGGGTCTGAGGGCAGAGCCTGGCCCACCCTCGCCCTGGAGCCAGGAGGCGCAGGAGGCACAGTGGGGGGTGGGCAGGTCCTCTCCTCCGCGGGACCCGCTGCCGATGCCGGTCACTGGCTCAGGGCGCTCAGGGCGGTGCGCTATGTCAGTGTTTCCCGGACCTGACTGTGCAGGAGGGTCACCTGGGGATCTTGGGGAAATGCACGTTCTGGCTGAGAAGCTCAGGGGTGCCGGGGGACCTGAGCATGTGAGCTGGTGGTACTGAGGCCGCCAGCCCTCCCAAACGCTGCATCCAGAGCCTTGGGCTACATCCGAGATCACTGAAAACCAAGAGACTTCCATTCACAGTTGAGTCTGTTACTGGATATTGTCAATGTGATGAGTTGTAACCTGTAGTAAATCCTGACCTGACATCATTGGTGGGTTCTCAGAAACTACAGCTTCAGGCAAAATGAAATTAACCAAATCCATTTCGCCCTGGGCTAATTGACACAACAAGAGTTAGGCTCCCACAGCATCTTCCTGGTCACGGGAATATCACCAGACTTCTACATGAAGACCCCGACCATTCCTAGTATTAAACACGGAAATAACCGCAAGCTGCGCCTGCTCGGAAGACAGACGCACAGAAAGGCGATCGCTGGTTTCCCGCCCTGCGCTCGCTGCTCTCCCCCGGCAGGGCCGCCCCCTCGGGCCCCCACTCCCAGAGGGACAGCGCGGGTGCGCCTGCCCACCTGGGTGCACCTCGGCGGGGCAGGAGGAAGCCCACGCAGGCGTGGGGAGCACGGGCCACCTCGGTGCAGGTAGGGGCCCGCTGGGAACTGGGCTTCTGTGGTCCGTCAACGTCACGGTGACATGGCATCGCTGGAGCACCCAGTGTGCTGCTTCCATTAAACTAACCCGCTCCCGCCTCTACCAGCACCCTGGACGAGGGCCGCGCCGAGATGCTCGGGGAGACGCTTGGGCGGTGCACACCCTGGTGGGTCCCTTCCCCAGTGCAGGGTCAGTGCCCAGGGGAAGCCTCGCGTCCTCTTGACGCGACCAGGTAGGCAGGAGTGGGCGGTCTTACCCACCCAATGCTTTCCAAAGAACCTCCTCCTGCAAACCCCCCTGCCCCACCTGCTTTGTGCGCCTTGCTGCGGCCCAGTGGCGGCCGCGCTGGTGGCGGCGGCGTCTTCTGACGCCTGCCCAGGACGCACTCCTCGGACACCAGTCGGACCTCCTGGAACGCGCCCACCAAACGTGGCCCAGGTCCACGCAGCCGTTCCCACCAGCTGTGGCAACACACAGAAGCTTACAGTCCACAAGCTGTTGATAAGCTAGGGTTTTACTGGTTTCCATTCCAAGCACAAGTCCGCCCGCAAACACTTGGGTGGGGGTGGATGAAACACGGGGCGTAATTGGGTCAAGCCCCCACAAAGGGGCACTGTCACCTGCCACTCCACGCTCCTCACCCAGCGCCTGCTGGGAACACCCTGTGGTTTGCAGCTGGCCTGGACACCCAGGACCACCTCTCTCCCGCTGGGACCCGGCCTGCTGTCTCCCCGCACGTCCCGTCCCGAGGACGGCGTCTGCGCAGCCGCTGGCGTAAAGCAACCCTTCACTGTCCGCGGAGCCTCGGGCCCCGAGCGCTGCCGGCCGGCTGCAGGGGGACCCCTGGGGCAGTTCCCGGGTGGAAGGGGAGCACTCCTCGTCACCACGCCAGGAGGGGGCCGCCGGCACGCTACCTGCGAGGCAGGCCAGGAGGAAACACCTTGCGTGTTTCCGGGGGAACCGCCTCCATCGGACAGAGCTCTGGGCCCGTCTGCCCGGCTCCTGCCCTCACGGTTCAGAGGAGCCGGGCCATGTGCCCAGGAGGTGTGTCACCTCCTACCTGTGCAACCGCATCGGTCCCCTCTGAACCCGTCTCCTCACCTACAAAATTGCTCTGAGGACTGTAGGTAACATTTCAGGGGCAGCTATTGCTATTAATTTTACCGGGACGGCAGAACCACCACGGTGGAGACAGCACTGTCTCTGCCTTCAGAGCCTGCAGGGCTCCAAGCGCAGCTCCCGCCAGGAGCAGCTGGCAGCCTCGGGCCGGGGCCTCAGCCCCTCTGTCCCTGCAGCCGTGGGGACCTGGGGACGTTCGCGTGAGGCCCTCAGTATGGCCTGGGATGCGGTGAGAGCTTCAAGCACGGGTGCTGTGGCTGTTCCGGCCTGCCTTTCCCTCTCGACCTGAACCAGACCCTGGCCTGACTCCGCCTTCCCTCTCGCCCCAGTTCTGCCCCCAGTTTCTCAGCCAAGTGTGGCCTGAAAGCCGTCTTTGTGGGGCAGCCACCCGGCCCGACCACAGCACCGGGGCCCGTCAGGGCCGCGGCTATAAACAGATGGAGGCGGGGTGAGTCAGCACCACTCCCTGGTGGCCCTGGGCCGCCCGCTGCGCAGCAGGTCAGCGGGAGGGTGGCAGCCCGGCCGCATGGACATAACAGCCGAGCCCAGGGCAGGCCGCGGCCCAGGGAGACCCTTGGCCAGAGAGAGCAGCAAGCAGGGTTTGAGGTCAGAGGGCATCCAGGCTGCATCCCCGGCGGCACCCCACCCTGGCGTCTGTCTGCTCCCCTTCTGGCTCACCTCGCCCCCGCCCCCGTGTGAGCACCGTGAGCGCACCCAGGTGCCTCCCCTGCACCGTCACGATCCCGTGGGGTCTGCCCCATCACAGATGAGGAGACTGAGTCTCAGTAAAATGATCTCAGCGAGAAACGTGCACTCGGGCCCCAGAGCCCGCAGGTGGCCCAAGGACAGGACACCCCAGAACGCAGCGTCTCCTGAAGCCGGAGCGGAGTGCTGGAGGGCGAGGGGGGGCGGGGCGGGCAGCACGGAAGGAGCGCGGTATCACTGTGACACGTGGGAACCTCAGTCTTTCCTTCTGGACACAAACCTCAGTCCTTGGGTGACACCAACTCCTTCAGCAGGGACAGCGTGACCTTGGCCAGGCTCTCGCCGACCTTGAGACATTCACAGCAAGTGATCTCCACAATCAAAAGGACAAACACCTAAGTGCCCGGACAGCCTGCCAGGGGCCGGACAAATTTCGGCAATTACAGCGTTTTATTAGACGGCTGTCCCCCTGCAGTAAAAATAACCTTTGCGTTTGGGAGCCGGGCCTTGTTTTTCCCAGACCACTTTCTCCGCTCACGGAATGGCCCGAGCTGGCAGAGTCTTCCCTCTCATCGCAGAGTGGAAAAGTTCTTGGTGGCACTCCCCCAGAGCCGGGACCTGCCTACGCGTCCCGAGAGCCCTGCCCCAACCCCCCCCCCCCGCCCCGCCCAGCAGGTGACTCTGGGACGTGCACCGAGAGACAGCATGTCATTTCAGGAAGCGCAGGCACACGGCTCAGCGCCGGTCCCTCATTCCGACAGGGACGAAAGAGGAGACACTCTCGGGACAGATTTCACTGTGGTTTTGTAACTGTTTGACCTCTTTTTTTTGTTTTTCCTTTTCTTCAACACTCTGCTCAGAGCAAAAGAAAACTTTTCCACGATCTTTTGGGAATCTCCTGAGTGTGTTGTGTCAAGATTCTGGGGCACGTCCCTCAGCTCGAGCGGGACCATGGGGACAGCCCGGGGCACCAGCTTTGGGGACAGCTGCCGTCTCCACTGCGGACGCCGGTGGGCTCTCCTTCCCTTTCCCTCCTCCTCGGCCAGCGGCCTCCCCTCCTCTCCGGAGAGGTCAGAGGAGAGGTTCTGGGCCTGGAGACCAGAGACGCCCCTTCCCCAGCCCCCCCACCCCCCATCCCCACTGGTCGCTAACAGATTCTCAACACCTAGGCTCCAGTCTCCCTTGTGCAGAGAAACCCAAATAACCCACGCAGCCCCTCCCCGCCCGGGGGGAGCAGGGGTGCGGGGGGGGGGAGCAGCGCTCCCCTCTTCCCTGTGGGCTGCACACAGGGACTCCCTCCCCGGAAAGGCAAACTGGATGGCTGAGAGACCGGACAAACGCCCCCTCAGCCGGACGATCAAGGTCACCATCAGAGTAATAAGTCATGTTGACGGCATGTCCCCTGACGAGGGGCTGTCCCACCCGCCCCCCCGCCAGCCTGTAGCCTCAGACGACCATGAGAAAACCGAACAGACGAATCCCAGTGGAGGGACATTGCACACGACAGCTCACCAGTGCTTCTCAGACGGTCAAGGGCAGCGGGAACGAGGAAGGTGAGACACTGTCACGGCCAAGGGGAGCCTGGAGAGGAGGTCACTCACCGCAGCGGGGACCCCGACGTGAGATCCTAGAACAGAGAAAGGGCCCTGAGTGACCACGGAGGATCCCCGGATCAGCACCTGCTCTCAGTGACACACCCACTGGCTCCTTGACTGTGCAAGCGCCCCCCGCTAACAGAGAGTCATGATGAAGGAAAGCGGTGCCGGAAACGCAGGAACCCCCTTCTGTTCTCTTTGCGCGTTTTCCGTAAATCGAAAACCGTCTGAAAACGTCAAGTTGGTCTTAGACAACGAACAGCTTCAGTTTCACCTTCCGCCGTCCTCCACCGGGGTGTCCGACCTCCGACCTGTGGGCCGCACGCAGCCCAGGACGGCTGTGGGTGTGGCCCAGCACAAAATCGCAAATTTACTTAGCACGTGATGGGATGTTTTCTGTGACTGCGTGTTGCAATGTGTTTAACACGCGGCCCAAGACAACTCTTCCTGTGTGGCCCGGAGACCCCAAAGGGTCGGACGGCCCTGCGAGCCTCGGGGGTTCTTACCATGTTCGCTTATCTGTCTGGATGTTTATGTACTCGGGTCAGCCTATCGAGCCAGCAGTTGGCCCAAGGCAGACACACCCGTGCTCCGCAGCCCCCTGGGCCAGTTTTAGGG